GAATATAACTTTTGAAAGGTGAAGAGTAGAAGATACTTAATATATTAATTGAATAAAGAAATAACTATGTTTCTTGAAATTCATCTCTTTCTTTCATGTTTACTTCAGCAAAAATAGAAAATAATGTTTCACATATATAGATTATTAGACAAACCTTTTCTGATAGATAAAAAAAATCCTCAAATGATGAAAATTAAAAGAAAAAAAGTAAGAATAAAATGTTTATAACTTAAAATCTAATCTATTTTTGAATTTGAAGATTACAAAAGATTTATATATTTTTCATTATTTGAACATTAGAAAAAAATATTCATAACCGCACGAAGCGCGGATTAATTGACTAGTGTAGGATAAACTACAATTTATTGTGGTATTATAATCCCTTATTAACCAAAAGACTTTCCCATCTCGGATAAAGATTAATTTAAGTTATAGTCCAAACTTAAGGGCCGAAAAAGAAGAATAAGAAACTTAAGGGACTAATTTGGTTGTCTCAAGTAATAAAAAAAGTACCGAAAACTATTTAAATACCCATTTCCCACCAAAGCTAAGTACATAACACCAAAATGGCAGGGGAAGCGAAAACGTTGGAGGAAGCTGAGAAGTTGAAGCTGAGTAAAGGAGAGGTAGTGGACGACGGACCTGAAGATGGAGAAATCATGGGGAAATCCGTAGATACGGCGTCGTATTTGGGAAAAGAAATCAAAGCTAAGCACCCATTAGAACATTCTTGGACTTTTTGGTTTGATAATCCTTTGGCTAAATCTAGACAAGCTATTTGGGGCAGCTCCCTTCGCGATGTTTACTCTTTTTCGACTGTTGAAAATTTTTGGGGGTATGTTTTTCATATTTCTCGTTGTTGTTTAGCCTTTCAGAGATTTATATGTCAGTCGAAAATATTAAGAACTTCTAGTGCTTTTTATTTCATTTCTATTATTATTATTATCATTATTTTTTAGTTTGTATAATATTGGCATAAGATGAGTTTCTAGCGCTTCGCGTTCTTTCTATTCCATTCCACTCTGGGATAGGCGTCTAATACTAAAATAATAAGTGAATTAGTCGTCGTCTGACCAATCTGCTCAGACACTAGACTGCCCTTGCCCTCCCATTTTGTCTCGCCCTAAATGGAGGTCCAATTCTTCCTGAAATTGCGCTTAGTCTCGCTATCTCTTTAGTTGTCTCCCCCTAAAAGTCAGTGCTTGGTGCAGACCGATGGACGTGGATAGTGAGGATTTATATAGCCAACCCCAACTTGTTTGGAACTACAGTTAACTTAGTTTTCATATTTTTCTAGTTAGTTGTGTTCTTTGGTTATAAATCATTGGAATTTAGGCCGCTCAGTTATTTACCAATTTTAATTTTGGTTTGTGCATCGAACTAAGTACATTTGACCTTCAAGGAATAGATATATGCTCTTTGGTATGGGAAGAGGGAGATAGATAAATTAATCTTATGTAGTCAATGAAATGGGAGGAGAGTTATGAGGTTCAGGTTTAAATCCCTGCAGATGCAAAAAACAATAAAATACTAGGTAATCTCTTTCTATTTGCCTATGCCTTGGCGGCAGGTTACTTGTGCAGGCATTAGTGAAATAGTCGAGGTTTAAACAAGCTGGCTCAAACGCCACTGTCATTTGCCAAAAATATCTTGTCTAAAGGAGGGAAAGTGTAAATGAATGGAAATTGAGAGTACAGAAGAAGTTAGCCTTGTTAAAATCTTACTTGCACCATCATGTGTAGGAATGACTTCAATTTTGTTATATCGTCGGATTTGTCCTTTTGCTTCAAATTTAAGAACCTTTTTCCTGTTTGTCAAATGCCCATAGTAGCAACTAAGGATATATTGCAAATACCATCTTGAGCTAATAAGGTAGTGGATAACGCTTTGGTCTTAGTTTCTCTCCTAAGTAGGATAATACAACTACTACAACAACAGCAGATCCAGTGAAATCCGACAAGTGAGGTCTGAGGAGGGTAGTGTATACATAGACCTTACCCCTGTTAGGTGTTTGCCATAATTTTCTTACCATATTTGGTTTTCCTATCTCTTGAAGGAAAAAGGCAATATAATTACCTTAATTGAGTTTTCCTTTTTGTAAAAAGAAATTATAAATCTCTAATATTTGGCTAGTCCTTTTTCTTGTAGGAAAAGGTTTGGATCTATAAATTGAGGATCCTTCCTTCTCATTCAGTAGCATCCACAATGTAGCCATAGGGGGCTTGAGAGTCTTGTTTAGGGGGAGAATTTTACGGGACAAGTGTTAGTGTGTCACTTGTGTTTGCCTCTTCGTGAGGTTGTTCTCTCGATATTTTGTACTCTCTTTTATTATAGTGGATTACTCATCTCCGTTGTGTACGTAGGTCAGTTGACCGAACTACGTTAAATGTTTGTGTCTCTTTTGGTAGATTTCTCTTTTGATGTATGACTTATCGTCGTTCAAGGTTTGCGTTGCTAGCTTCCGCATGACACCTGACTTTTTTTGGTCCTAACAACCCCTACCTTGTTAAGGTAGAGAGACTGTTTTCGATAGACATGCAATAACTATGTTTCACTACCCTCCTCATACCCCACTTGTGGGATTATACTGGGTTTGTTGTTGTTGTTGTTGGCGTCAACGACCAGGTTCATTATTTTCATGAAGTGAATGTAGTGCTGATATTATTTCATTTATAGATCATCTATTCCCATCTTGTGACGCCATTTAACAATAATGTCATAAGACAACACTAAATTTGTGTGTGAGAGAGGGAACATTTAGAATTAAAATCTTTTAATAAATATGTATCAACATTTGAAGATGCTAAGGGGAAAAAGCATCACGAAGGTGTATGTGTTCAGCAACAATTTAAATTCGAATAGCTCCCAAGGATATGGTTGAGTGGTAAGAGCCCAACGAGTGATGTGTGGGGTAGTCGCACATCACGTACTCGAACCCTGCCTCAGACAAAAGCCTAGTATTAATTGGTTAAATTCGATAGAAGTGTATCTAACACCTGGAGATTCCGCGTATATGTTTGGTGCATGTTTTTACTTGTTGGTTTTTGCTTGTGAAGTAGCAGGCACTTATACTGAAGTATTTGTTCTTCTCTGTCTACTGTGGTTGTTGGATTCTGTGTAATATTCTTGGCAAAATACATAGATGGCCCCCAAAACTTAGCATGAGTTTTTCATTTAGGCACCTTAACTTGGGATCATATCTATGAACACTTTATGTCGTCAGATATGCGCCAATTGAACACGAATTGCTGACATGGAATAACGCGTGCTCTTCACCTCTTACTTCATGCTTGTTCCATCTCCTGAAACTTATCGTTGCAGGTTAGCATTGGGAAGCAGTGGAAGGAGTTTCTAGATTACAGCGACTGGATTGGTTTCATATTTCATGTATGCCATCTTATGTATGGTATTCCTTGACAATCAGTTTCTCAAAATTTTGCAAGACTCATAAAGCATCATCTTCTTTTGCAGGACGACGCAAAGAGGCTCGATAGAGGTGCCAAGAGTCGTTATATAGTAGAGTTTTCTTGCTACAAATGGGGGAATGCAAGAAACAGAATCTGTACTGGTAAGTTTATGGCACTAGCTTTGTTTGTACAATCATATATCATTTGATAAGCTGCCAGTTTGAGTACCTCTTGTATTAGTGTTTGTACTTTTAATCAAAGAGATTTGTTTGGTTTTGAATTAATGCCTTCACAATTGCCATGTTCTGCAAAGCGGGATGCCTTGTGCACGAGACTGCTTCTGTTGTAATGAGTACAACACTTTGCTTTCTTCATGAATGAGAGAGAAATTAGATTAAAAGACACGGTTCTTTTTGCGAGATCCGGTATTGAAGAATGTGTCTTGCCAAGTTCTTTCGACATGATTCTCTCAAAGTGTCAAGTATTCTCGTTCAAATTTGTCCGTTCATAGTACGGTCAGTTCCGTGGGAGGGCAGGAGCCTCCTCCCTCGAGTATACTTGTTCAGATTTGTCAGTTTGGAGTACGGTCAGTTTATTGGGAGGGCACGAGCCCACACCGTCCCCCCACCCCCCACCCCAACCCCGAACGCATATGACAATTTTCTAGAGAAAACCAACAAAAAATAGAACAAATAAACTAAGAAATAATGCTAAGAATTTCTTTTATTATTTGTCTCAGTACTTTGGTAATTTTTTCTTTCAAACAATAGCTGCACTCAATGAATAAGTTGAACACATAACAAATCACACGACTTTGGTATACAAATCGCAAATGGGACATCAACTTATATCTGATTGTTACACAAAAGAAATGAGAATAGAAAAGAAAGCAATTTTTGGTATGGCTTCTCGACGGGAAA